AAACGATCCTACTTTAGGATGTCGGGGATCGGGTGTTCATGCCCTTTCTCCGTAATGCGCCTACCTGGATTCCCAACCCTCACGATTTTTAAAGTCGACGGATTTTCCTCTTACTATAAATTCCGTTCTTGTCGGGATTGACATGTAGAATGGGACTCTATCTTTATTCTTGTCCGATTAATCAGGTCTTTAAAAGACCTAAGGATTTCATACGGGCCCGAAAGCCTTTCAGAGTATAGGGTCGCATGCGCTTGGTAGTCTTATAACTCAAAAATCTAAAGGCGGTTGATGTTGTCTGAGGTTTAGAAAGGGCTGATTTCGTGGCAGAGTCAAAGATAGTCGTTGTTAATTGTTAATAGAACGGAATCGGTGGTGCCGGCCGAGAAAAAGGTGCAGCACCAATAAATCCATGAGAGATTATTTGGAAAAGAGCCTCATTGAGCCCCATATCAGGGACATTAAAGCAAAGGGTCCGACTAGCACAATTGATTGATAGCCTATCCTGCAAATTCAAAGTTCAGAAATCCACACAATAGTATATCAGATAAAAAAATTTGAAAACTTGGCGTAAACTAGAGAATCACTGCGGTATTATATCGTAGTGATTCGTTAATTCAAACTCATTATTCATTTTTTGGCTTAACGTAAGAAAATTTTTTTTGTCATTCTATAAGAAAGATTTTTTTTTTCATTTTTGATTCATAAAAACCATAAAAATTAGATAGAATACCTTCACCCTTTTCAACCGATAGTGAAAGAACAAAATCGGGATAGATATCAATACCTAGTCTGGGTAAAAAAAATAGAGATCAAAAGAAATAACTCTCGTGGTCCCGAATCCGAAAATACAAGTATGAAACATTAAACATCTTGTCAGCTGGCTTTCGTGATTGAATACGAAACACTAACTACTACTTCTTTCTTCGTAAGTGAGGTGAGGTCAATTGCATCTCAACGAACGAAGCGAAGCGCAAGCACTCTTAAAACCAATATTATTTCGATTAATAAAAGGTTTTCAATGCAAAGGATGAAGAAAATAAAAGAAGTATTGTTTATCTAAAATCAAAAAATAAACTCGCGGTTTAGTTTCATCCCAAGACTTCTTTCTGCCGGTTCTAGATTTTCCAATAAGAATGCTACTTTTTTACTGTTCTTATATATTCTAATATAATAGTATAATAGAAGCCTTCTCATCATTGACTGATCGGGCACAATCATCCTATCCGAAGCGAAACATTCCAGGTTTGATTTTGAATGATAAAGGCATTATTTACATACCGTGGTAGAAAAGGCCAGCCTTTAGAAAGAGCTATGCTAAGTACAAGGCGCACAGTAGTGGACATTACAACAGGGCTCTCTTCGAGCTAGAAAATACCGCTCTTTCAATTTGCTTTTTAATATGTCAAAAATGGGTTGAAAAAAGGAATCCTTTGCTCGGGGCCAACCAAAACATGTATTCTTTACCTCCTTATGCATTCATAACACAAGACTTTACTACTCAAGCTGCATTATATACTCATCACCAATATATTGCAGGATTTATCATGACAGGGGATTTTGTTTCTCTCTTTATCTTTGGATTCCTATCTAATGATCCGGGTCGTAATCCTAGGCGTGAAGAATAAAATAAAAAGAGTTTTTCTCAGTTCATTTTTGAATTTTCTTAGGATTTTATCTATTCCACTCAAGAACGCACGTCCAAGGTTGAAGCTGATGTCGGGAACCTTAGCGAACAGCTAGACAGACAACAACATGCAGGAAAATGTTGAGTCGTGCCAAAGCTATGATCGAAGAGCTTAGTAGCACGTTGAAGGATTCCAAACCTCGCCCAAAGTCTGTAAGACTTGTTTCGGAGAAAGTGTGATAATTTTTTATCTCTCTCAAGATCTCTCTTAATTCGAAAATCCATAAATGCCATTCACGAATTTCGATGTCCATAGGTATAGGAATAGACAAGGTCCTCCCTTTTAAATGAGAACAAAAGGACTATCCGCCTAATCTGGACAAGCAATGAGCGCATTACCGAACTAAAAGTAGAAATCATCTGCTTCCCCACTCGCTTACTGGCATCTTCGCCCTTCTTTCTAGGGTAAGTGGATTTTTTGGATTCCTTTATTCAGCCTAGGTGATCCCTAGCGGAGCTCTACCAACTGAGCTATATCCCCCCGAGCCAAGCGGAGCATGCATGAAGTAGTCAGATGCTTCTTCTATTCTTTTCCCTTGCCGAGCTCTTGGAATTGGAATAAGTTTGGCAGCAGATCGCGAAATCTTGGCACCCTTGGGGTGATCTCGTAGTTCCTATGGGGTGGAGATGATGGGGCCGGTCCATGGATTTTCCTTCCTTTTCTTTTGCCGTCTTTCGCTGAAACTGGGATTGGCCTATTGACTTTGCCCTTCCTGATTCGGCGATCCTTAAAAAAAAAACTAAGTAAAGTTTCATCATTGAGCGACAAATGAGAAATTTATGGGAAGTTACAATCCCTACCACGAAATAGTGCAC